TTTCCCTACCTTCCTTTTCTTCTCCCTATAGTAATAATATTAAAAAGCCTAAAAACTTCTAAAATTTTTTCTTCTCTATTAAAGCAATCCTAATTTAGTACAACCTACATTATTAATTCTTTTACTACACACAGCTCAACACGTTTTAAAATATTAAATATTAATTTTAGTTTTTTCTTCCTCTAACGCCGATAAATTAATTATTCCGATATTACTTTATTAATATATCTTCTAATAATTATACTTCTTCCTACAAAAAGGTTTAGGCTACTTTAGGTAATAATAATATAAGTAAATCCGATAAGGCTGAAGGTAAAAAGCTTTAGACTATTTTAAGCCCAACTAAGGAAATAAAATTTAGTAATACTAATAATAGATAACCCTAATAGCCTATTCCTACTTATAGCCTTCAATTTTTACGAGGGTATAGTAGAGTGCCGATCCTCAACTAATTTAATAAGCAGGTAATTGCACTATTATTAAACTTCCGATTTAAATAGATTTAAAAAGTTTTTAAAATAATATTTAATTAAAATATTATTAATTAAATACTTCGGTTAAATACTAATATTGTACCTGAATTATTAAAGACTATATTTTAAAATTTTATTAATTAGTACGTTTAGGACTATTAGGGATCCTTCCCTAATTTATTAAAAATAATTAATAAATGGTTGAATATTATAAGAATAAACTAATTGCGTAATTAGATATTAAAGTATAATAATAAGTGTAGGGTTTGTAAAGTATATCTTAGCCCCCTTTAAAATCCGAAGTTAAAGAATAAGTATATATTTTTTAATTATTCCCAACTAAATAATACTCAACCAAATTGGTACTTTAATTTTAGCCTACTTTATAATGAACTAAATATTAATAAACTATTTAGCAAGCTCTTCCGCTTTAAATTACAACCTAATTAAGTAAGCGCCTTCCTACTAAATAAAAATAGTTTTTATAATTAGAAGCGATTTATAATATATTTAACCAACTTTTAGTACAATATTAATAAGTATACCTTTATTTATACTAATAATCTAATTACCTTACTTCTATAAGTAACTAGAAAAGGGTTAAAAATAATTTTCGTATTAAATAAGTATATTTAATTGAATAATACTAATAAAATTCTAAAATATATAATTAATTCGAACGATATTAAATTACTTATAAAGGAAAAAAGGTTTTGGGTAATCCCTATCTACTTATAAAATATATATTTCTTAATAGCTATTTTTAATTAGTTGGTAGGCTAATAGGATTACTATGATTTTGATCTGTATGGTTCTATACCAAAGAATATAGAGTTAGCTTTAATTTTATTATTTTAAAAATTTAACGTTTGGGGGGTAATAAAGTCTAACTTAGGCCTTTTTATTTGTTAAATCGACTTCGTTACCTAAAAATCCAATTGGATTTATAGATTAATAGTAATAAAAGTTATACGAATAAAATTAGTAGAATATAATCTAAATTTTTAAATACTTATACTTAAAATTTAGAAATGGAGTATAATATTGAAGGAGTATATAATATTTAAATAAAAGTAGAGAAAGAATATTATAATATAATAATATTAAAGAATAATTTATAATACTTTATAAATAAAGTAATAGTAATTTAAAGGCTTATTTAGGAATCCTTTAGGGGAAGTATTATTTATAGTGGATAGTAGATTTAATAATATCCTCTTTTAATAAAATAAATGTATATATAGTATTAGAGAAAAGTCCTAGTGTCTTATATAATCTAAGGATTATATTACTTAAATTAAAGAGAACCGACTATAAGGGCTCGGAAGTATAGAGATCTTTCCTTACTACCAACTATATAATAACTTTAATACTATAATTAACCTTCTTCTATTCCAATATATATTAATTAAATTTATTAAAAAAAATAGTAGTAAAAATTCTTCGTTATTTAACTCTTTATTATTTAATTCTTCCTCTCCTACTTTTATAATATAATAAAGAGAGGTTAGAAGATTAACCTCTTCTTTAAATAATATTTATTTGCCTTTAAATTCTTCCCGAAATTCGATTTTAACCCTAATTCCGCCTCGATAAATTATAATTCGTTCTTAGAGCTTAAGGATAATAAATTAACCGGCCTCTACTCTAACTTCGTTTCGTTTAATAGTATTGTTATTTCTTAATCTTTATTCAATTGGGAGATGAAGCGCTTCTATTTAATTAACTATTAATAATTAGATACGCTGCAATTTAATACTAATTATATCCAACCCTCTTAGGGAAATTAGGGCTCTTTCTATTAATATTCTAATAAATTATATATAATTGTAAATTCCTTTTCCGCCTAGAAATATAAGAACTCTTGAATTATTATTAAAAAATAGAGCTCTATTAGTTCTAAAAAGTATTAGCCTATTAAGTACCTTAGAATTACTTATAAATTTAATATAGATATTTATTTAAGTAAGGAGGATTAATTAATTATTAATCCCTTTAAATTTTAAAAAGCCTTCGAACCCGTCTATTCCCTCCAATTCCTTTTAATATAAACGTATACTATTAAACCCTATACCTATATTACAATAAGGATTATCCCTAGTATTCGAATCTAAGAGTTTTTATTTAGTTAGAGAAATTTTTATTACTAGCTAAAACCTAATAGTTAATTAGCTATAAGTGGTAGTACTACTTGATTTTAATTCTTATAAGTTTATAGTAAACTCTTTGGTCTACCCTATTCACTATATAGAGCGCGACTTGGACAACCTTCCTAAATACAATCCTAATAACCCTTTCTAAATTATAATAGAATTTAAAGAAAAATTTAATTCAAATATTCGTTCAAAATTATAAGGACCTTTATAATTTATTAGAACGACCTAGAATAATATTATTCGGAGAACAAATAACTATCTCCTTACTAAAAGTACTAAAGAAAAATATTTAATTACAAAAAGTAAGAAAGGATATAGGGGTAATAAAAATAATAAAGGAAAGTACTAATTATATATATATATATATATATAAAGGTAAATCTACTCAAGGGATTTATTGTAAATTTAAAGGGAAGATTTAATTTGGAGTAGTATATAGGAATATATATATTGGTTTTTAGTAGTGATTTTTTTTTAAAAATTTTTAAAATATATAGGATTAAGGAAGTACTTTCTAAATTGAATAAACCTAGATAATTAGTATAGAAAAAGAATAGAAAAAGAAGGAGATTAAATATAAGGAAATAGGATAGGAGATTAAAAAAAAAATATCAACCTTTCGTTAAGCAAAATAATTAATTTCTAATTCTTTAGTAATTTTTAATTATATAAAATTAATTTTTAATAATTACTAATTATTTATCTTTATTTATTTAGTATACTAAGTAATCCTTTATCCTTCTTAGGGAAATACTCATTCGTATCCCTATTTATATTCGAAAAGAAAAATACAGAAAGATCCGATAGTTACCCTCGTTTTCCAGCGAAAACTGAATATTAAGCTATTTAATAAATGCGTGACTCCAATAAGTCGTATCTAGCTTAATACCTCCCATCTCGACCATCCGAAAAGACTTGAAAATCATCTACTACTCTACCTGATTAGACAGTTAAGAACTACGGTCCTTATGCATCGTGCTGGTCGTGGTAGTATTGGTGTTGTTGTTGTGGTTTTCTCGCTATTTCACTAATAGTATACTGTCACGGCACCATATGACATGGTCCCGTCCCTCTCGGCGTTCCGCCACCGCAACCTAACCGTCCTTTAGTCAGCTCTGTCGAGTCTCCACTTGGTTCATGTACATAGTTTGGGAGCAGAGTTTTCGCTGCTCTCTTCTGATCTTCTCCTCTTCGTGTAATATTACGTCTTCTCCAAGTCCTTCCTAGTCGGCATCGTGACATATACCTTCTAAGCGTACCTTTTCAGCAATAAACTATATTGAGGGACCGTTGCGTAGCCGTCTGGTAATCGATAAGATGGATATAGCTTTATTTATTTTTATAAACTATAAGGCTTTTAATGCCACCTATATTCCCTTTATTGCCCTACTAGAGGTAGAAAGAGAGTAGATCTTTAAAGAGGTAGAGGACTATTTGTATGCGGAGATGTATAATAACGATTTTAATGCTTGAGATTATGATAGAACCCTATTTTATTGGGATTATTTATATTATAGGGTAGGAAGAGGTTGAAAAGATAGTTCGATATAGTTAGTTTAGAGGTAATTAGTATAGATGTAGCTATAAATATTATAGTTAAAATGTAGTATTTCAACCTAGTCTAGCCACCAGATTACACCAGATTACACATGAAATGCCTAGATTTACTTGATTTATGTGGGGATATTACACGTGAAAAGTCACGTGTGACAGAAACATCAGTAACTTTCCTTTCTTTTTCCTTACATTTTCGTTCCTTACAATTACCTAGAAATTCACAGCCATCCCTAGTGCTACAGTCCCCTAGTAGCTACCCTGTTAGCTGCAAATTTATATGGTAGGCCGGTTGAGCGGCTTGCATTTTGCAGTTTGCAGGCTATACTATACTAAAATAATTCGGGCACGGAAATTCTTAGCATTTACTGGGTCTTTGCATTTATTGGGTCTAGCATTTACAGGGCACATTACTGTATCTCATCGTTTGCCAAGTCTGCCATCTGTTGGCGGTTGCATGCCATTCGTTCTCAGCTCCAGGACGCTTCCGCCTGTGCGGTCCTTTAGCCTTCCTTCTTGCATCTCAATTCTGTTCACGGCACACTCAACTTTACCTTCGGTTCTCTCAGTCTGTTCAATACTGTCACTCCTTTGTCTCTTCATTCGTCTCACCGTGTGGCCGTATGCTACTTTGATCAAGCTTGTCGAACCATGTCTGAAGCCACCGGAAGACGATCCGCTCCCGTCCGGTCAAAGAACAGGCCGAGACCTTTGTCCATTGTCCATTGTTCATAATGGCCTTGTTAGGTTGTCTTCGCTCCCGCCGAAGGAGAATGTGCCTGTCTATTTATTTCCATCCGATGAGGATTATAAGACAGCCATCGCCATGACACCACGAACAGACTTTGCTGGGCCATCAACAGTTCAACGACTCGGAGACAAGTGCTTGCAAGCTGCGAGTAAATACCTACCACTTTCCACCACTTTTCGTTACTTCACTCGAGTGCGACAAGCGACGGCCCGAAACAGCACTACCAACTTCGTCGAAAATCACTCACCATGTCTGAAATGCATCCTGATTCTCCTGCCATCCTGCATGGGGCTGTGAAGGATATCGTCTGCAACTTGGAGAAGCAGCTGAAGGTACAGCAAGAGAAACTACGAGTCCTATACAAGGAATGGAACTTCTGGGAGGCTGCCGGCGCTCTTCTCGACTTCGATCAACTTGAGGTTAGCGATTTCAAGATAGATGAGTTACAAAGACAGCTGATCGGAGCTCAAATAGAGCAGCTAACATTGGAAAACGACTTGTCGCAGATGACGGAGTTTGCCCGCCAAGTCTTCAGCCAGCAAGGCTTAGGCTTCAAGACCCCCTCGATTCCCATTCCCATCCCGTCTGCTAACTTGTTCCCGCTATCAGCCGAGTATTCACATCCTTCGCCACCACCAAAGTCATATGGACAGCAAATGACACAACGCCGGCAGGAGGATTTCCGCTATTACCTCGAACACCCGGAAATGCTGGCGGTTTTGCCGGGTCAAGTATCGCCTAAGAGTACTAACGTAAACAATGCTTCAGTGCTTGATCCCCAAGTAACCCTTGTTCAATCTCGTATGCCCTTTGCTCCCCCTCAAAACCCCCCTTTCCCTAACCACAAACTCGTTAGTCGCCCTCCAGCGCCTTCCCCTTCCCACACAAGAAGGCCATCAGTCAAGATTGTACCTCCTCCATCAACATCCACCACTCCCAAGGTACGTACTAACAACCTCCCCTCTCAAAATGACCTCTTCTTCCTTAGGCGTATGACTGCCTACCGCAATTCTCGGTACGGCTCACAGAAGGGAATCCACCCTACCGATGGTAAGCGCGATTACAAGTTTGACCCACACTTTTGGGAGAAGAAAGAAAACTGGGATGGGACAGACGATTTCTGGTTCAAGCCCTCGACGCAGAAGAGGAGGAGAATGGATGACGAGGATGAGGCTCTTTCGCCTTGCGCGGTGCCGAGGAAGAGAGTTAGGAGTGCCGGGGGAGTGTAACCATGAGGTCAATTTGGGGATGATATGGTGATACGGTGCGTGGGGGCGTGTGGCGAAGTAGATGCTCGTGGGTAAGTGGTAGATTTCCTTACTGACCAAAGCTCAAGACGTACAACATAGATTGAAAGAATAAATAAAATGATCACTCATTGACGATTGAGCCTGAGATATCAAGTTGTGATGTACTCCTATTCTCAAGGCATTTTTGTCTCTAACATAACGTTGCATGATACCGTTCTCTTCAAACCCCTTCCCCCCCAATGACCTTTTTCCCGAGCGAGCATTTCTTCCTAGTCTCCAACTATCCCTTCACAAACCTTATTGACTTTCCCAACAGTCTAAGTGTATAAATCTGCCTCCAATGGATATCATTTTGCCACTCACCTTGTCGTTATAGCTACCTAATTGTGTAGATTTATTCTTCTTCATCTTCTTCCTGTTCAGTCGGGTCCACTCAGTTGGGCTTAAACAAATTAAGTCAGCTAGAACACCTGACTTAGCGATGAACAGCTCTTCGCACTTGGGGGTAACTTTGCTGAGTTTTTGGCACTATATTGATGTCCCTCGACTTCTTTCGATAGTTGTTGCCAGCATAAAGCTTCGACGAGACAAGACCAGTCATCGTGAACAATGGAAACTTTCCGTAATCACGAAGAGTATAATTGAACCTCTTGAGGAGCTCTGTATTCTAGCCATCTGGAAAGATGACTGAGCCATGAAGGCTCTTCGGAAGATGAGCGGCGTGAAGATGAACATCACTTGTCTTCAGCAAAAATGTTTCACCTGGTAATCGCGCCGGCCAGGTCCTTCATTTCTAAGCTAAGACAGGCCAAACATCCCGGCTACAATACAACGAGGGGAAGCGAACATCGTCTTCCAGAACAATGCCCGTCTTCTAGAATAACTCAACTGTGTTCACTTGAAACCCGGAAACAACGCCCTTGTTCTACTGGTCCCGGGGATGCAGCCCTCCCGCTCCGAAACAAAGGCACCTTGAGAAGCCGGACACGAGTGCTGTTTCGCGTTGTTCTTTGTTGTTCGGAAGCACGATCCGACAATAGTTCATGTAACAAGATTAATGTGCGGATAAACAAGATAGATAAAACTCAACTGAGAAGAGAATGAGTGCCGTGTAATAGATTTAACAACGACGTTCAAGATGCCATCAGTCGACTATAAATACCTCTAGACAATGCCGCTCCCTCCGAAGCAAATGAGTTTCTTTTCTCGACAACAAAAGCGTCAACATCACCCAAGACAACGACTCACATCCATAAAAATTATGCAATCAAACAATTCCTCCTCATCGAGCAAGTCCAGCATGGACTCACCCCTCGAAGTGCCTCTCCTCCCCCACGAGCGCCTTCAACCCCCTTCATCGCCGCACCTTACGCCCCTCCGCCCAGCCCGCCACTTGCCCCTTGACTCGAATGACTCGAGCGACTCCAAGTCTTCAGGATCGTTCCCCTTCCCCGACATGAAACAATCTGATAGACCTAGCTCTTCAAGCTACGACAGCAACGAGACCATCGGCATCCCTCTTCTCCCACACGAGCAGCTCACCTCGCCCTGGGCCTCCATGTCGTCCTCGGGATCCCCATCATCATCGTCGACTTCGACGACGAAGAGGACACGGATGCGTAAAAACAGGCATCGCCCCAACCCCCTTCTCCTCGAGCGAGTGCAGCATGCACAACATGCACCTATGCTGGAGCCTGAAACCCAGTATGAACAAGGTTCGTGGTTCCCTCCTTCCTCCCCCTCCTGCTCTCCCACTGGTACTACTACCACCATCCTTCCACCTGACCATCAGCGCCATCGTGGAGAGTTCTGTGCCTCGCCCGAGCCAATGACTCCCGCCGAAGATCAGGTACGTCGTTCACTCCGTCCGTTGTTTGACATGGAAATTTTCGGTAACAAAGCGAGTGATCAAGGATTCGGTGCCTGCGCGAACAATGAAAGCGAGACGGACATCATCGCCAGTCTTGAAGAGGGGTACTTGCCACCCACACTAAAGACTCAGACCCATGACGAGGAAGAGTACACAATGAAGAGGAGTGAGAGTCTTGTTTCGTTCAAGGATCTCCATATTCCTGAACCAAAGGCTCCGGCTTCGATGGTGATCACGACTCTCAAGAGGCGAGTGAGTTATGCCTGCGAGACTGCCACCGAGTTGGTTAAAGGCTCCCGGGCGGCGGCTACGACCAGTGCTTTTGTAGGGGATGTTTTCGAATACCTGATCAAGAAGGGCTTTTAGCGGAGAGCGTTAGGTGGCAAGTAGCCATATCTTCTGCTTTGTTGTATGTTCCTCATTTTATGTTCTGGTAGAAGAACCACTGTACAGCTGTGTTCTCGACTTACCAAACCGTGGACAAATGTGAGATTTTAATCTGGTTGTTAGTTTTTCATCATCACCACATTAGAAAAAAAAAAAAAAAAAAAAAAAACAACAGGCATCTGATTTGTCATTGAGTTTCTCCATGTTTCCTCGTGATGTGATTTCCCTATGCAATATCAGGCGTTTGCTGACATGTTGTCCCATGACCTCGAAGGGAGCTAGCCCAAAGCTTGGCCCCATCCATTCCGAACAACTTTCACATCATTGTTCGTCTGTATTCGTGCTATTGCTCCACCATATGACATGTCGCATCGATGCGCATGTGGCGTTTGTCTTCGATAGAGTAGCAACGCTAGTTTGATGTACGGTATGCTTGAAACGCGGCCGTCCTGTTACACCGTTCTGTTAGACTTCACCCTTCTGATGGCCGCCTTAAAGCCGCAAAAGCAAATCTGGGTTGTAGTCACATAATGGTCAACCAAGCATTCACCTTGCAAATTCTGAGTCTCAAGGGACTATGTAGGTCTCACGTTTCCCGGCCGGCAGGCTTCCGATGCTCTTATGAACGCGTGCTTGCCATGGGGTCAATGTGTGACCCGGTCTTATCCATGTACGACGGAACCCGATATTAAAAGATTTATGCAGTTGGCCGTAGTAGGGAACTTATCCCGACCGCACTTGGATACTCCTGCTAATGGAGCTAGGAGACGGCGAGGATCGGAAACGGGTACGTACGTATGGAGTTTAGGTCAACCTCCGACGGTGGAAAGTGGGAGACGGGGAGTGGTGTGTCCAGGCGATAAGGCATAGCAGTGTCGCCTTTATTGCTTCCCTATATCCTCGTCTTTCCGTTATACTTGCGCGATCACATCCATTCTCATCTTACGTACTATTGGGGCGCTGTAAGCAGCACATGGCCATCAAATTTCTCAGCTGGGGGACAGGACATACCGTAAGCACGCTTCCCACCGCATGCCGCCACCATCTTTCCATGATGACCCCTCGATAAATGCAGCAGTATCAACGAAGTAACCAACATTGTGGGACTGGACTCCTCCTCGATCCGTCTGAAAGGCTTCTTCGGAAAACAGAAGCGTTTCGACGCGGTTACCTCCAGCTTGGTCTTGTCCCAGTCGAAACCCATGCAATCAATGCGTGTACCTCTAGACCACTGCTACCAGACAACCAGAGGACATAAACAAGCAAACGCAATGAACAACTCCCAACACCACCAGTATCCGACCAACAACACTTCTTCGGCGCAAGAGACTCGCATTCTTACCACCTTTCCAGCCGAGGACCTTCCGGAACCGCGCGTCGAAGAGCTCCGCCGAGATGAAGTTCTTTATCCACCCCCCGCTCCGGGCGACTTTCCTTTCCACCTGCGCATCCCTCTTCTGACCCAACTAAACCGATGGTTCTGCTGTCAATGTGCAACCAGAGCGATCCACTCCCTGCAGAACAATGAATACAGAGGCCTCGACAAGATCGGCATGGTGAACAACAAAACGTTTGATCGCTGTCACGACCCTGCCTGCTCTCATATTCAATGCGCCAACTGTGCCCTCGGACCTGGATTTGGCGGTCTTTTATTATTCAACAGCTTGCTCCCTCCCGTCGGGGGTAGAGGAGTCCATATGCAGGGACCAACCGTTGTCCGAACCGTTGCCGGCCTACATGCTCATCCTTTCCATATCGACCCATGCCACTGGGAATGTGCCTGTCGTGAGTGGATAAGCAATGTGTTTGATTCCCGTTGTACGATGCACCTGACAAGGTGTGCGAATCCTCGCTGTCAGTTTCGAAACCGAAGAGACGTGGGAGTGTTGAGGCCGGATAGCGTGGTGCTGAATCGGTATGGACAACGGTTGGGTACGGCGGATCAGCGAGTTGTCGAGAAAAATGGTCCATGGATGGTGCAGAGACAAGGTTTGAGTATGGTACCTGAGAGGAGTCAGAGAGATAAAGGAAAGGGGGTAGTACCTCCGGGACGTCCACCGCCGGCACCAACCGGACCGCCCACAGCGGTGTTGCTGGATGTGTTTAGACTAGGGACTGCTGGGTACGCGGGCGATGAGATGGATATTTGTGAGGATGAGGCTGAGAAAATACCGGTGTGGAAGCCAGGATGTCCGGCGCCGAGGTACAGACGCAGACGAGCGCCGCCGCCGCCACCACCACTCGATAAACCAGAGGAAGTTGCCAGGTATCTGTCAGAATATTTGGCCAGCATTCCACGTGGATCTCCTCAGCCTATGTTAATGGCCAGCGCGGCTAGAGGAGACTTGTCGCGACCCGGGTTGGTGATGATGAGTGGAAGAAGAGAAGACAACGAAAGTCGAAGTCCATTTCAGGGGGCAGGGTTCAGCCATCCTCCGAGATCAGGTCACCATTCTGGACATCGCCCACTGTCGGTCGGGGTAACCGCAACCACGCCATCGACATCAACGAGGTCTTTTGGGGTTTCAGGTGCCAGTGACGGCCGGATAAGCAATGGGTGGCATCGGATGTAAGGGGCAGAAACTCTCCAGAGAATTGTTTGCATGGAGAGGCCAGAAATCCAATCATAGAAAGAGGTGAATCAAGTTTGGGTTCCGAAATTCCAAAAAGAAAAAAAATGGCAGGCTTCCTGGAGGGAAAGAGCGACCAAATGTCAGGATAATGGAGGCTTGAGCAGCTGGACAAGAGCAGAAGGAGCGACCGCTTTATGCACCCGGTTCAACGTCTTGTCCTGCACTGCATTTCCCCGCATTCCTGGTACCAACTGCTACGAAGACACAATCACGACAGGCAGGTAATACCCTCAGGTTCGCATTGTGTGGGAATCATAAGAAGTACCTGGTAGTTAGTGCCCGATAGAGTCGAAAAATATCAAACACTGCGATCTCACCAACATTTTTCTTTTTCTTGAAACCCTAATGGGGACGCAGTGATGCCCTCACACGGACAGTCCTTACTCCCTCTTCGTTCCCCCAGTTTTCCCTCACAAGTCTCTAACCATCCAAACATTCCCCTCCGCCTCTCCCCCCTCAAAAACTCTGAACCCTACCTTTTCATAGAACTTCACCACCTGCTTGTTCTCCCCCGCCACCCCCAGATTCACTCCCCTTCCATAATCCGCTCCACTCGTCCTTACAGCTTCCACAAACCGTTCAATCAATTTCCTCCCCCACCCTTTCCCCTGCCACTCATCCAACAAATCAATATGCAACATGGCCCTCCACGTTTCCACCATCTCCTTCTTCCTCGCTTCCGCGGGTCCGCCCTCCGGCCCTGACAAGACCAGCCATTGCGGGTTATACGCAAGTTGAGCTAGACACACCGGATTCAACCTTTGAGCAGCAGCAGCAGCTTCTTTCGTTTTACCACCGGAAGATGGAAGGAACCAGCTCTCGAGTGTGTCCAGTTGCTTGGGCGGGGGAACGTCGATGAGACCTTGTGGGGATTGCAGCACTTCCTTGATGTAGCGGGGGTAACAAGCAGCGAAGGCGTGGACGTCGGGGGTGCCGATTACGTAGCCTACTACTTTCCCATCTTTTCCGTCTTTGGAGGGGGGAGAGGAGTCGGTGTTTGTGTTGGTATCGGTGTCGTCGACCAGAACGAAACAGGTCTGTGGAGAGAGATGGGTGAATTGGACACACCAGATATAGGGGGACATGCGGGCGGTGACGGGGTCAGCCGCGACGGTTGGGGACTGGGTTGCGCGGCACTGGGGTGGTTTTGGAGTTAGTAATTTGTTGTTAGGTTAGATGGTGGATGTACATGATCTTGTGCTGTAAGGGATGCGGTAGAAAGGAGGGATGAGTAAGTGAGCAGTGTTGCATGATCAAGTGAGGTGCTTCAGATTGGCACTTACAATGTGCATGCAAGCCTCAGTATCTCTTGGCTCAAAGGAGCGAATGAAGGGCATGTTTGCGGTTGAGGATTAGCTGAGTTGTTGATGCGAGGAAGTGGTCGTCGACGCTTGTTATCTTGGGGTATTTCTTCTTTTTTATATCTTAGCTCACGTCCAGATGGTGAGAAAAAAGGAGCAGAAGAGCGAGCAGGTGAGGGGTTGGTTACCTTGAATAGTACAAACATTATAGATGAGGTTTCTCCGAAGTTTAACACATTGCTTGTTCGCGGTCTGCCCAAGTCCGACACTTATCCCGGTGTAACCAAGTCCGTGGGAAAACTTCGGGAGACTTGGGATATTCGGGCCGTGTCTCCCTCTTAGTGCAAGTGCTACCGATTTGATATCTCCACGCGGGTCGGCTCAACTCCTCCAGTCTGGAACGACAAAAAGCAGCCAGTATACCCGAGGGCTTCTGGGCGCCAAGCGTCCTTTGTCCCCCTCTTTGCACACCCAGAAGCCTTCGGGTAATCTCACCCAGCTGCTCTCGAACTTGGGTCTTGAACAGAAGTTGGTATATTTCCTACTACTTAAGAACCTCCCAAAAGCACAGTGCTGGGAACCACCTCCCCGCCTACCGCCGGCATCCAGCCGTATCCGTACACCCATGGCTCATTCTCCGTTCCCCATTCCACCTGATTAATACATTCCCCTCCTCGTCAACGTGATGGAGTCCATAACTACTTTTCCCGAGCCAGTCTCTTTCGAGAAGTGACTAACCCGCTATTGCCGTACACGGAATCCTACATCTTGTTTGTTCTCAACGCGCAGAACCCCAGGTACTGCGCAAGCCGCTGGAGACGGGCAAGAAGTTTAAGACACGATGATACAAAATGTTCAACAAAGAACCCAAACAAAAAGTAAAGAAAAATATAACAAAGTTTGTACACGAAGTTGATATAAATGCAGAGGTATCTGGATTTCATAAGCCCATTCAAATCAACACGGCGGCCACTCCTGCCCCCATTGCTGCTTGCCTCATAACCCGAAAGTAACACAGCCCCTGAAGAAAGAAAAAGACGGGTTTCAAGGATGGGAAAATGACAGATAAATGGTTTGTGCAAATCAGTGACGGAGATGCTTGCACCAATCGGCTTCCAAACAAGACATGAGATGGGCTTGGAACATGCCAATGGGGCTATTTGTGCTGTGACTCGACTTGTTTGAGAGAGAATGTTGAACCATTCTCCCCCATATTAGCAAGAGCTCGCCCAACACGTCCATATGACTCGATGTGAGGTTTGCGCAACCGTCGCCGGTAGTCGGATTTTCCGGGCTCTTCGTCGTCACTAACAGAGAAGGCACTTTGCGTTTCAGCATCTGATACAGCCATGCTCTCTGTTTGATTTGCAAATGGAGGGCGAGGCACTCCCATGCCGGCACCATCAGGCGTATCGCGTGGGCTCTCGCGTTTGCGACGAGGGTTGATGGGTGGAACTGGAGGTGCCGTGGTAGGTACAGGTGGTACTCCCGCACGGCTGCTCGGGCGAGACCCGCCTTCCTGTGAGTAGCCATGAGGCAGATCCATCGTCGGCATGCGGCTGGTTGCCATCACAAACTTCGGCTCAGATATTTCCCGCTTGTCTACGAAGCGCTTCGCTGTTTCTGAAATGAGCTGTCTTGATCTGGAACCGAAGGATGGCGTTCCCGCCGGGGATGCCGCAGGTCCTGCAGTATACGGCGAAGGAGGCATTGGCGATGCGGGTGAGGGCGGTCCCGGGTAAGCACCGTATACCGAACGACCGGCTTTCAGATTGCCTGCAGACTTGGATCTTTCAAGCACATGAGGCGAAGGCAAGGGAGAAGGGGCACCGCGGTTTGAATAGCCTTGGGTTGGCATGATGGGAGACTGCTTGACGTTTGTATCAGGAAGGCCAGGAGAGCGCAGTGGGCCGCGAGGGCTCCCAGGCGCCATATTCCCGTCTTGTTGCAGCATGAGATGGTGCAGCCGGCGGCTTTTGGACGTTGATCTTCCCCGCTTGGCATCCGAATCACTTCTCTCACGGCTGCCAGGCATGATGTGAGCAGTAGGAGAGTCACGATGCATTCCATATCCACGCTCCTGACTAGGGCCGCGTGAACTATACTGCATGGGATGTGCCTTCCCGTCCCTGCTCGACGTTCGTCCCCTCCTCGGAGCTCTTGGAGGCGATTGCAATGCCAGCGGTTCCATATTGCTTGACTCATCAAGAGACGGCGCGGTCGTGGAAAGCTGCTGTTGTGCAAGAGCCTCAAGTTCCTTCCGCTTCTGCAGCTCGCGCTTGGCATTTCTGAATGCCATCAAACCTGGGTGGGCGTTCCAAGTATCCTCTTTGTCATTTGTGGACTGACTTGAATTGTCGTTCTCAGTCTCGGAACTATGACGGGCCTGGCGCGCCTTGCTCCTCTCTGGGATCGCTTGTACGGCTGTCTCCCTCACGTCGAATGAATCCTTGGTTGGGCTCCGAGAACTGCTCCTGGCGCCCCCAAGGCCCAAAAGCTTTAGGCTGGACTTGGGTTGACTTCCCAAATTATTCCGTGAGCGATCTACCAGAGAGCTACTACTTGACTTTGCTTTGAGGATGTTGATGTTCAAGTGGTTCAGGGAGGACTGGCTGCCTTTGTGGGAGGGGAGTTCTGGCTGTCTAACTGGTGATGTCGCTCTGCTGCTATCAGACTCGGCATAAGAAGTCAGCCTTTCCTTCACTCGTCGCCGAGCTTCGGCCAGTTGACTTGCGAACTCGTCCAGTTCGCTGTCAGTATTACTGGATCTGTTTGAAGGCTTGGATAGCCCGTGATTGGTCGCACTGCTCGACCGGTTGGAGGGTGCGGAGTCTACGACAGGTGTCTCCTTCTGCACTGCTTCAGCTGCCTGGTTGTCAGTGTTTGGTTTGGCACCGTTTCCGTAATAGTTCAGTGTCCATTCTTGTTCCTGCGCAATCCATGGAGTGATCTTGGGGTCCGGCAACATATTGAGCGGTCGCGGCTCGGGATCGTTGTTTTGTGTGGGGGCACTCCAGATCGAGGAAGCATTGCTGCCTGAGCGAAGGTGTGAACGGACTAGGCCACCAAGTCCAGCGTTGGGGCCAAGAGTAGGAGAGTCTGCCGATGCAGGCTCGATCGACTCTTCGATAGAGATTCTTGGGTTTTCGGACTTTGCTGATGTGCTGATAGAAAGCGGGGGTGGAGCAGCAGCCCCCCTTAGCGCAGGGTGTTCCTCATCGGCAGGACGCTGAAGGCTGAGCTGACCGGAAAGGGCTGCTAAAGCTTCAGCTTGAAGACTTTCGGGTGTTTGCGAATCGAATTCGGTAGTCGAGGGCTCTTCTTCCAATGCTGGCTGAGTCCTGAGAGGATCCCCTCGTCCCTCAAAGGGCTGCCCGTGGGTAGATGATTCCTGTGAGCGAGCGGTAGCGAAGGAAGCATCAGACTCTGCCCGGAAGCGATGGGTTGGCGTCTCGCGACCCTGCTGCAGCTGGATTTGGCGCTGGGCGTACTTGGTCTCGTCGTATGGTTGCAAAGGCTTCTGAAACACTCCCATAGCGGTGGCTTTTCCAACATCGTTAGGCTGAATGGGCAACAGAGGGAGCGGTTCGCCAGTCTCGCTGATGGGGGGACTGAGTGGAGGAGAGCCACCAAAGTTTAGCTCGGGATCCGCTTGAGGAGCAGCCCCATTTCCCAAGTCCCCAGTACCAGTCGCAGGAGTAGTGATCGGAAGACTGACTGACCTTAGCTGAGGGGCGCTTGTTTTGCTTGCGAGGGTCCGTTCCTCGCCCAGCCGGTCACCAAGGGCCTTGACGCCCGAGGCCGCGGTCTTCTGGCGGTTGAGTGACTCGATCCTCGATAGTACAGAGGATTGTTCTGGCCCATCTTGGCTCGTGCTTTGCTCGTATAGACGTCTCTTATGGGTCACCGATCGGTCAAGAGCGGGAGTAGAAGCGCCCGAGGTAGGAGCAGTTGACACGTAACCTGCAGGCTGTGATGCGATCGAGTTGGCAGCAGTGGAATTGCGCGCCATGATGGAAGCCGACGAGGTGGCCGAACTCGTCTCCCGTTTGAAATTGTATCCCAAGGGGGGCGGTGACTCGGATCGTGGGTGGTCTTCATGGGCCTTCGCCTGCTCATGCTCCTCTTCAGCTGCATGCTCTTGCTGCTCCTTTTCTTTTTCAGAAATACGCCAACGCTGAAAAGCGGACAAGGCGACATCGTCATCGGCGTACAATGCCCGGCCTCCCAGGCCGCCGGACTTGGTAGCAGGCACTTTGTAGATCTTTTGCCTTCCACCAAACAGGTTGTTACCCTCAATAGGTTTTCCGCGACTTAATATGCTTCCACCATTGTCGAAGTCAGCAGAAGCAATCGAATCGCTCCTGAAAAAGTGAGAAGGAGCCTTGATGGACTCCACCTCGGCAATGTCCCCAAGACCTCCGGCGGCACCAAAACCAAAGTCAGGAAGTCGCGATTGTCGCTTTGGGTGTAATACACTGTCGTCGCTGGCCTTGCCAATCTTGGTGTTGGGGTCATCTTGCTCTCTTAGCATGGAAAAGCGCGCAGATAGGTTTGTCATGAGAAGACTTGTGCGGAAGTTGTCGTCGGAAGGAAGGGCCGTCGAGAGATCGAATTCCAGCTTGGGTTCCTCTACCGGTGCCTTCTTCCCCTTCCTGAACCCCTTGAAGCCTGACAAGGAGGATTGCTCCGAGTCTTCGCTAGAGCGGGCGACTGCGGCGGCGGTGGCGGCGGCGGCGGCCTCCTCCTTGGTCTTCTTCTTATTTCTGAAGCGATTCATGCTGGCGGTTTGTGGTGCGGTGTCGGGATATAAACAAGCTCACACTGACGGAGAGGAGTGAGACCCGATTATAAGAACTGCCCCAGATCAGATCAGAGTGGCGGATGGTGAGATTTGCATTCCATCCAGGGATGTAGTGCAGATCGTATTTTTTGCGAGGGTTCACCCGAAGCGATCTGGTCGGTGATACGGCAAGACGAATCAAGCGACGTCCCGTCAACCTGTTCAGATGCAGTGTTGCGTTTCTAAGTGAGGGAGGATTGTGTGTCAGCTTGGTCTCGTGCAAAGCGCAACAGCGCCCCTTGCTCGTGCTCGCGGGGATCACAGCCCTTTGTACCAGGACCCCAGGCCACTCACCGTATGTTTCGCCGCCGTTATCGGGCGAGGCCGAAGTCGTATACCCGCTTTCTATAGCCAACAAAAGCAGAAAGGTTCTGTACTGGACAACCCCGGGCAAGAGGTGAGTCTGGTGTTGCGAAAGCTGCAGGGTCAATAGTGTCGAGAAGTCGAGGTGTCTTTACGATGTCCCGATCTGTTTATATCGCACAGCACCAATTTCTGTAGTCTTCCAATCAAATATCGTCGGTCAATCGGGCGTGGGAAGTTTCGGTATGTCAAAATAACACAGTGAGCGAGTGTGATGAAGAAACAGAAAGAAGAGGACGATCTCGCGTCACATCCAGGTCTTTGGGTTTGCTGGTATTTTTGGCCGCAGTATACCGACAAATATTCGAGAGAAAAGAGCGGGCGAAGGGAAGACGTCGTAGGAGAAGAGGATTAATCTTCTTATTGTCGGCCAGGTAAAGGAGTGACGACGGGCGCGCGGGCACACCCAAAGTGCGGGTTGGAACGCGGGGAACCGAATACAAGCGACAAGAGGCTGAGAGGGGCTTGTCGGCGGCGGACCTGAAGCTGATGATCAGAGGAATGGAATGGTCGGACGACAAGACGCAACGGGATGGGGATGAGGTTTTGGGTTGTACGTAGAGGTAGAGGTAGTGTGCGGGTTGGGGCCAGGCCTGGGAACTGAACCTGGTTCTGGGCATGAGGCAAGGTGTGGTGGAAGATGGTTAGGTCGCCGGGGGTGGTTCACCCTTTCGGAGGAGGAGGACCGTCAACTTTCTTTCTGGATGCACACTGCAGGGCAGGGCACGCACGCACACGCAAGGAAGTCCCCTCCCAGGGATCCCGTCGACTACGCTAGGCACCAACAAGGGCACAAGGGCCCGGCACCTGCACTACCTACCTAGGTACCTACCTAACCTCCACTGAGCCAGGAACGACGGGACTGCAACAACACAACAAACCTGAACGGGCAGCCGTGGGGCTACTCGCTAGGTAGGTGCTATCCTGCACCTCGGCTGGCTGGCAGCGCAGTTTGGAGCGCATTGGGAGCGCCTTGGCAGCCGACCTGACCTGGCTTACTTAGTTTTTCACCTTCACCGTGGGAAGCACGCACGCGGAGGAGCGACCCGCCGTGGACCGGATGACCCCCGAGTGTGGGGGGTGTGTTTATTGGAGGTCAATTGAGCTCTGTCATTGGCCAGCGGAGATCCGTCCATGGAGAAAAGGGGCATGCAAAAGCAATTTGTGTGACAAACGATTCCACCGTGCGTCTGCCCGCTCAACTGAGGCACCACATCCTCTCCAAAAATGGTGCACTTTCGGTGCTCGAGGAAATGAAGCTTCCCAAGCCAATTTCATTGGGCAAAATCCTCCAGAGAAGGTCGGACAGGGGCCAAAAAGAAAAAATCGGAAACCCGACAGCGGAAAGCGAATGGACAGAGCTCCTTTCATTCCAGGTAGTGTATCTCGTACCTGCAGAGGTGCAGCCTGCACTGACCTCGCTGGCACTCTCCATGCGTCTATTCAGTGTGGCAGCTACCAAGGTACAGTACGTCTATGAGACGAGGGCATTGTGGGGAGGAGGGTCGTGGGAGAGTATCGTCAGATTGCCGCCAACCCCATGGGTGGAGAGCGATGAGCCAAGGCTACCAGATCGTCAACAACAATCACGACGACATTTGCATTTGAGATGAGCTTTGCGATCCATGATCCACGGCGGTTGTCTTCTGCGCTTGTTTTATGGGGGGAAGTGCCAGCTTAACCCTAACCCCAAGGTTTGTCCTATCTAATTTCATCTCATCTTGTTTCCGTAAGGTAAGGTAACTAGGTATTGTCCGGTAGGGCAAGGCAGATCACACTTTTGAGTGCTAGTTGCCTTTTCACGGGAACATCCCTCATTTTGGTCAATTTTAACGAGTCATGGTATTGACCTCATCAGGCATGTCCTTTCTGAATAACTTTTTCTTTTTCTTTTTTTTTTTTTTTTTTTTTTTTTGCAAAGTGTTCTCCAACCTTTGAATTGGCCTGAAACATACCCCTCCATCACCCGCTTGGTCGTTGGGCGCGGTGCTGATGTGTGCCGTTGTGGATGTACATAGTATCTTACCGTACAATACAGGACTAGTTTCTATTTGTTATTTTGGTTCTTCGGCCATGGGTTGAATAGGGGAGATCTGTAGCTCTTCTTGGCTCCCTCAGAGTTCCGTTCAAAGCGACGGACTATGACCAGGGTAAAATACGCTACAGAAAGCGTCTCTTTGTGACTGCCTTTGTCCATCTCCTTCGAGTCCGCCAAGTTTGTAAGATCTAAGAGGGTAGTTTGTTTATGACACCCATCCGCTCCAAATTTGAATATACAACTACCAAACAAATCAGGGCTGGATTGTAATGGCGTTGCGGCATGCGGATGCGGTGCGGGTCGTGTTGCAACCCACGACATCTTTCCACTGCAGGTACCGGACAGCAAGATATCTTGCAGTGCTTCATCTGACCTGTGTCTCTGCCTGTGCATGATGACAGGATACGATGGTTGGAGAAAAAGTAGTGTTCCTCTCAGAATTGTACGTCCAACAATAAGAAACTTTTCGCATTAATTCCCGCCACTATTCACGCAAATTGCGAACAAATCAATGTTGAAACAACAAGTTGGAATTGTCATGGACCTAGGCGAGCAGGGTTCCTGCCGTCTCCACTACCATAGCCGAACCGTGACATCTGCCAAGTATCTCCAGTTGAGCCAAGCTCGCCGGTCGAAGACACCTCTCACCTAGACAGTGGCACAACACCGCGGCGTGAACAGAGCGGCTGCAAGCAAAGCTTTTCTGACGGCTATTTGCCCAGTTTCTCTTTGCATTATGGCCGTTCGGCACGTAGGCTTAGGACCAGGAGGCGAATCAAGGTTCGAGCGGGCAATAGAGGCGGCAGACGACGTGGGAATGATGGCGGCCAGAGTTTTGCACCTGCCAGACCTTCAAGAAGACACACATGTTGTCGGTGCGACGATGATGGATCAGGACTCGACCAACTGACTGGATTATTTACGGTGACGGATATCATAGACTTGGGGTCTCTGTGCTACCGCGATATACGAGTTAAACCTGGTTGGTTTGAGTCTGTGACACGAATGCAGATTATTGTCTTGCTTAGGGTCGACAATCAATCACCCTAGTAGACTGGACTCGCTCTGTCTTAATCTGCCCCCTCGTCCTCAGGATCGACACTAGAATGAAGATGTATAGGACTTCACCTTGCGTGATTGGATGTATCATGCCGCAGAGGCCAAACGAAAACCCATGCTCCCCCACGCCGCCATCGTGGAGCTTGGGGGTTTGGGGTTCCGGTAGATCAACAGCCTCAAGATGTGACGGTCATTGAGCTGACCAGCCACAGAGTTTCACCCATTCACAGCAAACGGCAACACCAATAAATGCGGATTCTGCGTTTGCAATCAGCTACCGATGGTCGTGTTTTTCGCACCATCTTTTTGCTGGTTGGTTTCACTCGCCGTTGCATCCAGCCAGTAGAGCCTCAAACCGTCGTGTTCGACCCCCTTCTGCCCTCCGATTGGTTTGTGCAGAAGAAGCCTCCTGCCCATCCTTCATGTCAGCTGTACCGTGTGGTGCAGGTTAGAAAAGGATCAAAAGGCATGTCAAGAACGAACGGATCCTGGTATATTTTGCCATGTTGTTCGTTTTGTAGCCGCACTCAATTACAGGACCACAGTTGGTGATATTGCGAGGTTTTTCTGTGTGGATCTTGGAACATTGGCCATCAGCTACCCTACGCAGTAAATGCACGCGAAGGATTACACTACAGTTGTGGCAGGTTTACTAGACACACACCTTCCCCGGCTCTAGGTAGCCGCCGCGGATAGCCGTTCCACACGGATCTTCCGCGATCCAATTACTGAAGGAGCACTTGACGGCTGTACCTGACGCTAAACCCAACTAGGCTCAGTCAGAACTCCACAACCACGAGAAATGAATGGAACCGGTAATCTTGGTGGGGTGACCGTTTCTGGCACGACTTGCGAATTGCTGGCCTGGCTGCCCTGGCTGGCTTCGGGCACTGCAGCATGGAAGTTGGGCCTTGGTCAATTTTTGGAGATTGAGCGTCCCCCACCATCTGATGCCATTCCATCCCAGGTCTTGTAAGCTTCAATCTGTCTCCAGAGCGGAACTGATCACGGGACAGAGAATATCATGAAACACAATCAATCCACCACGCTGCAGGTTTCAGTTCCAAGACAGCATCAAGACCGACAAAGAAGGGGAAAAAAAGAAAAAGAAAAAGAAAAAAAAAAGAAAGGGGGAGGGTCCAGCAGGTGAGACCTGCGCTGCTCGTCACCATGCAAGTAGTGTAAGTGAACGGCTGAACAACCCAAGACAACCCCGCATTCCATGCACAGACAACAGAGAGGAAACCCCGCTTGACGAGAACTCGTACCATGGACAGCTGAGTATTTTCACTCGACCCAATTGTGTAGAGCAAAATGAACGTGGAAATGATTCCAAGATAGGTGCTCGCGTGAGGTCTGTCAACAGCACGGAGAAGGCCATACAAGGCAATTATTTCCATGTCGCCGTCTCAGACATGCGTGGCGGTCAAAACAACTTGAGAACCTTTGTATCACCAGACGTTCGGTCTACTTGGGAGAGTTAGACATTTATCTATTTCCGCCTCTCTCTTTTCAGGCGATCTTTTTCTGACGTGGGGCAGATATGTAATAAAGCCCGCGGCATTCATTTAACGCCTCCCATCATCATCATCATCTCCCGGCGTTTCCATCCCAATCAAGGCATTAGCATCTCGAACTCTACCAAGAGCTTCGGCGTTGATTAATCGGCCTAGAACAGAATTGCTTCAAGGCATCGAATTCTGGAGAGTCCATGTCGAGAAGGACAATATTGATGTGGATATGATTGCGACCAGGACAAAAGAGACAGGGTAACGCATGACATTCTCAGACTCACAGCAGACAGTTCTCCACAACAACACCCTTCCATTTCAATCTTATCAGATTCTGCAATTTCGCCCTGCATTTCTAACCACAATCAACTTAACCTTCTCGCTCCCCCTCTATCTCGTCATTTTTACTTCTCCAACACATGGACTCAAGTCTCAGATGGATCACACAAACGTAAACCCTGGATCGTTTCGCCCACCCGCCCATCCTTCCTCATCAGACCTGTCCAGTCCGTCCTACATCGTATCGAGACATCCAATGTGACACCAAATCTCCGGTTGCCTGTCACGTATCGCCGCGAGCACGGTCAAATCTTTCATTTGGGTCCTCTCCGATTATTCTTTGCAACGACGCGCCGCACGGTCAATACATAAATGTCAAGGCGGCCTCGAGAGCAGAGTGGTAGCACGGTGTGATGGGCGCGGTCTCGGTGAGTCGTCGCTGCTGATTCGATCCAGACGCGAGATTTCATGTAGGATCATATTGAACAGGCACCCCAAATTGTTCTTTGTGTCATGCCTCTGGGATGTTATAGTACCACCTCCATGGGTCATCCCACCGACTGGAACTGCGGGTCGGGGAGAGGCTATAGATGCGGCATGATAACCGATATTCTAGGTTGTAAATGGACACCTATGGACAGGGTCATGGCTTGGTGTGAGGGTTGTGTATGCAAGGTACCAAAGAACAATGTTTCCGTGTTGAGTGGTATCCCGTTTCAGAAGAAGTCTTCTTTGCCTCGTGCCGTCCCTGTCTGCCTGTCCGCGCGCTCCTGAAAACTCCAAGCGAAGCTTTTCACATGGAAGACCATAGTTCATTAAGAGCTGGGGGGGGGGGGGGGGGGGGGGGGCGCATAGAAACATGTGATATATGGCACGCTATACATATGGCAGTCCGTTGTCTGGCCGTCCGTCTGCCTGCTCACGCAGAAGGAATACTTCCATGGAAGTTCTTATCAAATGACTATGATGGTGAACCATGATTATTTTACATTCAGCTAGCGTCAAGTTCATCACCCGTCATCCCGGACCTACACTAGGCAACATCTCCACATGGTGCCCCCCTTCATATTCCCCGAGGTGCATTAGTATGTAAAAATTTTGACTAGTCCCGTCTCCACGAACGGTTGAGATTCAGAGTCTATCCTAAACAAGCTCTTTCTCTTGTCTTCGAAAAAGGTTGCTCCCGCTGACCGTCGCATATTTAATCCGTCTTCGTGTGTTTCCATCTGATGTGGATGTGCGATCGTTGTGATGGGCACGTGGGTGGAAGACCGTGAAAGTTTAGCGTAGCCGAGAAAGGTTCCGGATGGTAAGCCCAGACCGTTCGTTGTCGAGCAATACCGCAGGACGCAACTCTATGATACCTCCAGGCAGCGCCTGTTGCACTCGCTTGTGAAATGGTGATGTTCGTTCTGAGCGCTTACAAAGCGAGAAACCGACGAGATTACAGTTTCTTTTGCGTTGTTGATAGGAAGAAGAAGATTGAGGCACATAGGTCCGAATACTCTCGGTCATAAAAAGATCCGTGCTTAGTTTGGAGGGAGACGGAGAATGTCCCGGCGAGGAAAGAGTCTGGGGAAACAAAAGTCAAGCGCCAATGCTGTTAGGCCAAGTCCTGTTAATTGTTAGTGATCGGAAGGGAAGTGGGTCTACATACAGTATACACCTGAGACACCTCGACCTTCACAACTTTAGGTAACTCCTTTGAGTTCTTCCCAACACCTTAGAATATAGTTGACGCGTATTCACAGTAAAGGGGACATATGGGGGATACACTAAAATTGTTGGAGCGAAATGCTCGAATTCTAACAGAGATACAACTGCCTATAGTTCGTTCACCCACTCTGCCAGTTATCACAAACTTTGGCGGTCGCGTCATCCGCTACCAAAAAAGCACCACTCCGCCAAATTGGATAATTGGATGGAGTTTCCGCAACAGCGACAGAAGTGGACCAATCAACCTTTATATTCTAACAGATGCAGGTGGAAGTTCATGATGTCCTTCCCCGCAGAATATCAGTGTTGTCGACTGTTATCGGAGGCCCAATTAAAGTCCATAACAGCTCGTCATACGGTTTATACGTGGAACAATACTTTACTTGACATCCGGCATTCTCCCATCTGCTTGCCGTAACACTTGCACGTTCTACAGTACCAGGCCGTTATAGGCGGCTAAGTGCACTAACACTTGTACGTGTAATACTCCATATAAAGCAAATAGTACTCTTATCGCTATTTTCCCCTCACGGCATCCAGCGCCAACCACCATGCATGTTCATCTTCAACATGCAACAAACCAAGGCAACCGGCGGGGATTCCGTCCGTCACTACGTGGCGCCGCAGCCCAACATCCACCGACTAGCGGTAAGAAGATCGTTTAAAACCGAGTAAAGACGTGCCGGATTTTGTCCTCAACACGAGATTCCATGTCGAAATGGGACTTGCTCAGTTTGGCCGCCTTCAATGACCAAAGCTCAATCCGGTCATCTTCTAGCGACAGAACCAGATCGCCAATATCGTTCTTCTCCTCGTGGCCGTTCTTGTCGTCTTCCGCTCATCAAAGGAAGTCATACATTCATGAAACTCAGCGTGGTACTTGGTTGACTACCTGAACAAAGTGATACTCGAGAACTTGAGAAAAGCAATCATCCAACTTACAACCACAGCCATGAACCATCTCAGCAGTCTCTACGAGCAACTGCTACGGCTGCCAACAAGCCTCCCAGGCCCAGGCTACTTTGCCGACCAAGCAAAAGAAGTCGTCTTCTCCATGAAGGGCGCCGTAGCCCTCATCTGCGCGGCCGCCTCTCTGCAATCATGCAGTATTCTACCATCATCATCATCGGCGCCGTCCTCACAACGCCATGACGGGCAACACCCCTCTGAACCCCCCTACTACGGTCTCAGTCCGCCGTTTTACCCCACTCCCGTCGCCAACGGCACCTCCTCCTCTCGCTGGTCATCCGCCTACCAGCACGCCCTCGCTCTCACCTCGCAAATGACGCTCTTGGAACTCCAGAACCTCACTCGCGGTTTTCCTGGTCCTTGCGTGGGAAACACGGGCTCAATCGACCGCCTTTCCATACCACCGCTCTGCTTCTACGATGGCCCCTCCGGTGTGCGCGGCCAGGAATTTGCCTCCGCTCTTCCCGCGGGCATTCACCTCGCCGCGACGTGGGACACAGACCTCATGTACCGTTACGGCCGGGCCGTGGGCGCTGAATATCGCGGTAAAGGTGTGAACATTGCTCTAGGGCCGCTGGCGGGGCCGTTGGGACGGGTGGCAAAGGGAGGGAGGAATTGGGAAGGGTTGGGGAGTGATCCGTACCTGGCTGGCGTTGGGATGGGGAGGATCGTGGAGGGCGTGCAAGGGGAGGGGGTCATTGCTACTGCGAAGCATTTCTTGCTCAACGAACAGGAGTATAGACGAAGATGGGGACAGGATGCGCCAGACGGAGAAGGACATGCCATCAGCGCGAATGTTGGGGACAGAGCGCTGAGGGAGTACGTCTGGCCGTTTATGGATGCACTGCGGGCGGGTGCTGGAGCGGTGATGTGTGGATATAATAGGGCGAATCACAGCTATGTGTGCCAGAATTCCAAGTTACTGAATGGAGTGCTCAAGACGGAGTTGGGGTTTGAAGGATTTGTGGTTACTGATTGGGATGCGCAGATGAGCGGGGTTGCGTCAGCCAACGCCGGAGCGGATATGGTGATGCCGCGGGATGGGTTCTGGGGCGAGAAGTTGATCGAGGCTGTAAAGAACGGATCGGTGGCCGAGGAGCGCTTGAACGACATGGCGACCCGCGTGCTGGCGGCGTGGATATACGCAGGCCAGGACGACGGGACTTACCCACCCATTGGTGTCGCGCCGGGCGGTCAGCTACCCGACCCGGTTGACGTACAGGCGGACCACGCGGATCTCATTCGCAAAATCGGAGCGGCGGGCACAGTCCTGATCAAGAATGTCAACGGCACCCTCCCCTTAACCCAACCCAAATTCCTTTGCGTCTACGGCTACGACGCCATCGTTAAGTCTACTCCCTGGGAGAACCCCGACCGCTACGGCGGCGGCTACGACGTCAACCGCGGCTGGACCACCTTCAACGGCACCTTGATCACCGGCGGCGGCTCCGGCAGCTCCACGCCTCCCTACGTCGTTTCCCCCTTCGAAGCCTTGTCCCACCGTATCCGCAAAGACCGCGGCATGCTCCGCTGGGACTTCCACTCGGCCAACCCCTCCCAGCAATACCTCAACGCGGACGCCTGCCTCGTCTTCATCAACGCCTACGCCTCCGAGATGTCCGACCGTTCTACCCTCTCCGACGCCTTCAGCGACGACCTCGTGCTCAACATAGCCTCCTGGTGCTCCCAAACCATCGTCATCGTTCACTCGGCCGGCATCCGGCTCGTCGACCCGTGGATCTCCCACCCCAACGTCACCGCCGTGTTAATGGCCGGCTTACCCGGCCAAGAATCCGGTAACAGTCTGGTAGACATCTTATACGGCGACGTCAACCCCTCTGGCCGTTTACCTTATACGATCGCCAAGAAGGAGTCCGATTACGGGCATTTACTCAACCCTGCCACCGGCCAAGAAGAGGGCGGCGACGTGTTCTTCCCCGAAGATAACTTTGTGGAGGGACTACACATCGATTACCGCTTCTTCGACCGCCACCGTATCACTCCCCGCTTTGAATTCGGCTTCGGATTGTCTTATACCACGTTCTCTTACTCAGACTTGAAAATTTACGTTTCTATCGCTCCCGGTGTCGTGGAAAAGACGACGATGCCCTCCCTCGCCGCCACCCGGTTCGCCGAGTTTCCCGATCCGGACACTCCTATTATCCAGGGCGGACATCCAGACTTGTGGGAGACTTTGTTCGTGGTAAGTTGTCGCGTGGAGAATTCAGGGGATAAATATGAGGGAAGAGAAATTGTGCAGTTGTATGTTGGTATTCCCGCTTCGGATGAGGAGGAAGAGGATAAGGAAACGCCGGTTCGTCAGCTGCGCGGGTTTAAACGTGTGGGACCGCTGGCGCCGGGGGAGGATGGGGAGGCGGAGTTTGAGTTGACGAGAAGGGATTTGAGCGTTTGGGATGTGGAGATGCAGCAGTGGCGGTTGAGGAGAGGGAAGTATAAGATTTGGGTCGGGGCTAGTAGTAGGGATTTGAGATTGAGTGGGACATTTGTTATTTGATGGGATGGAATGTTGCTATAAAGGTAGCCATGCTTGAATCCATGACTTGATTATATCTGAAAGGTCAACCTGGATTGGTGTTTACAATGGATCAATGTCCAAAGGAATCTATTTCTGGACAGTGTGTAAGGTCCAATGAGTGGCATGTATGTAGACAATAATCATCTAAAGAAGGGTATATCGACAAGTTCGCAAGACTATTTACGTACACCCTAAATCACCACCCCGCTACGTCTTCAATGTCTGTTCTTTGAAAGGACAGCTGGCCAGCCTATCCAGCAAGGGTTACTCGCACAGCAAGAACCCCTATTCCCCTCCACCCCCAGGAACCTATCTCCTTTTTCCTCGCCATCCGCACTCATCAGACCATTCCCTAGCTTAATACCTCAAGCCCTCCCCCTCCGACTCATCCTCCTCAATTCTCAGCTCATAAATATCCTCCTCCTTCTCATCCGCCTCATCGCCCTCAATCTCCAACGTCTCCACCCAATCCCTCCACCCCTCACCTCTAACCCAGGACACTCCCTTCCTCCAATTCTTTTCTTTGATTGCCTTCGCGTCCCTCTCATACACCACACCAGTAAGCGCCAACGCCGCCACAAGGACCCAAACATCCCCACTCTTCATTGCCCGCCACCACCTCCTCTTGACACCGACCTTCCAAAGGCTGTTCAAGCTCGCCTTGGCCGTGTGCAAGAAGATGGGCCGGCCCTTTTTCTTCTCCAGATAGGCCCAGAAGCCAGCCAGGAAGCCTCCCAAGAAAAAGCGCTGCGTGGGCATAAAGGTGCGCGGCAGCCACGTCTGGAAGAAGCAGATGCTGCTCCACCAAGTGCCCAGGGCACCCGTCAGGAAGGTCGACATGCGTAGCGCATTGGAGATGATGCCCTGGATGGTGGAGAGCGGGTAGTGGTAAAGCGAGCTGAAGCGCGGGAGAACCATGGCCGAGTAGACGAGGAGGAGGATCTTGGTTAGCGGTGTGAAGGAGCGCAGCCAGAAGGTGAGCAAGGTCCGCGTGCAGGAAGGGTCGGAGGGGTGGAGGGTCGCGCAGGAGAGGGAGGTGATGAGCGGGTGGGCGCCGGAGGTGAGGGGGGCGATGGCGGACAGGGAGGCTGGGAGGGTGTCTTCTTTGCCGGGGAAGAGGACAGGGGAGATGAATGCCCTGTTGGAGATGTTAGTTGCGGCCAAGGAGAAGGAACTTCGGAAGAGGGTAAAGACGTACGGCCAGTTGAGCTTGGCCATTGTGGCGAGACTGTCGATTATTTCGTAAACCTTGGGCCACTTCAGGCTGAGAGGGAAATCCTCGGGTCTGGCATGGAGATAGGCCGTGGAATGCTTGAAGATGAAGTCGCCATAGGCCTGCGTCGTCGCGTGTTAGCATTACGTCCCTCGCCACCCATCTGATAGCAAACTTACCGTAGGGAAACAGTCCCGATCGAACACGGCGGCATGCAACAGCTGGCCGAACGCAAAGGGCTGCAACATCCAGCTTCCCCACCACCACGGCCTCGTCCGCTTCTTATCCGGCCTGCCGTGGGTGCCCCTATCCCAACCCCAGACCATGCCGTTGTCCTCGGCACAATTCCATCCGAACTCGAGTGCTCTGAAGAGCGCATACACGGCAATGGAAACACGTAGCTGCTGGCTTGGATAGACACCCAGCGCAAGACCAGCCAGGGAAGCACCGACGGCAGGGGCATACGGCGATGTGAGCGTGTGCGTAGTCTTGGGGTTACGAATACGGAAGGGAGCCGCCGTAGGGTCCAACAAATGGGCACGTAGGCGTGTGAAGAAGCGGAAAAGAAGTCGGTACATCAGCAAGATGGTGCTGAGTGATAGGGATAACCGGAGGGTTGGCGACTTGTGAAGCGGCTGCTTCTGACCGCTGGCAGCACCGCTGTTCCCATGTTAGCTTATGTCGGGACATTCCTACCTGGTTCAATGCCAACCAAGGGGGATATGAAAACCCGGGAACGGCACCGAGGATGGATAACGTACCCTTGCTTCTTCCCTAGAACCCTCGCCGACACAATTCCCCACAACTTCATCAACGCGCCAGTCGCAATGAAGACGCGTAGCGAGTGTCGGATCGCTCTCGCATTGTAATCGTCGGCACCCGCTCCCTTGCCAGCGATCCTGGCCAATACCTCCTCTTTAGCCTTCGCTTTTGATTCCTTATCGCTGGAAGACGCACCACCGCCGGAACCGGTACTGGTAGCGTAACCCTTGGCCAGTGCCTGACCACCACCACCGCGACCATCCCTATTTTCGGGTGGACCGTCCATAATTCTCTGCACGGTATCGACTGTTGGCGCCCTTTTCCTCAGCGTCTTGGATTTGGAGATGACGTGTTTGTGCAGAACGGCGTATTCGCGAGCCGAGATGGTGTATCGCAAAGCATTGCGAAGAATGGGATCCGAGGTGGACTTGGCTGTGACTCCCGGGCCTCTTGGGCCGGGGCTGGCTCGAGGACCTGCTGCGGCTGCGCCGGCGGAGGCTCTTGAGGCCATCTTGGGACGCGCCGCTGATCTCGGACAAAGGTTGGTTGACTTTTGGATGCCCCTGCGCGTAGATAATTTCGTAGGATGTGATGTTATTCTGCTGTCGGGGCAGCTCGTCTGGTGGAGTTGTTGATGCCGGCCGTCAAGGCAATTCCCAATCGATGTTCAGGATCCGTCGCGACTCGACTCCCTGATTCTGTGTCTCTGATTTCTCCTCCCTGCCCTTCCTCTGTGGTACCCTTAATCGTTGGAAGGCCCTATGTCGGCGCAGTTTGTCGCGTGATGTCGTCATAAACAGTCGAAAGGTCGAAAAATAGGGCCGCCTGTCGTCTACGACCTGACGCCGCCCGTTTGTGTGGAGATGGATTCGGTGAGGGGAGATGGAATTGGGGCCTGGCAGTGCTCGGCTTGCAATTGGGCATTCAGTCAGCAAGTGACTATCAGTCAACAGTGGTGCAGCCCAGAGTGACGCCTCCCAGTTCCACGTGCTATTCCTGTCCCCAAGCGAGCCAGCCTCGGTAATTTCTAGTTACTAGTCTAGTTCACTGAATGTCTGACTGGCTGTTTAGCGAATGAACCCCTTACGAGGCTAAAGAGACCTCATGGAGCCAAGCTGAAGGAATAGCTCCCAATTAGGTTAGCGCACTTCTCCCCACACTCACAAAGGGGCCCCGATGCTACCTTCGCAGCTAGAGGTACGTACCTATCCTTTCCACGATGCCGTCATTCTCTATGCAAGCCATTTCTTTTTCTCTTTCAAAATCCCAAACCCAAGTCAATAAACTCAACATGGACATCGAGAATAACGGGATAATATAAGTAATGCTGTACAATTTTGTTTTACAACCGACTACCTAAATATCTTGAAAGCCATGAGAGAATTCCCTAGGCCAATCATGCCTACCATCTATTGGTGAAAATCGAAACGTCCATGGGTATTTTAGTATGTTTTCCTTCCTGCATCCATCATAACGGCTGAATCCACCCGCCCCTGCTCAATCCAGTGTCTGGCGGAAACAACCACTCGCTAAGTAACCACTCCTTACAAAACAAGAGTAAAAAGAAAAGTAAGCAACGCCGCAAAGCCCAAGCCGGATCCCAATCCAAACCATCCTCGCTCCGCCAGAAGAAAGATTCTGGAAAACTTCGGTTCCCGCCAAAGCAATGACATCCTTCCAACCATGCTGGATACCGTTGGGCAAGCTCCGCTGCCCCCGTTTCATGACCAAGACGACCTGGAAAGGAAGATAAAAGATTCACGGCTTGCATCCATCGCACCCAAACGCCACCATAGCCTGCTTCCTCGGCGTATGAATGCAGAAAGATAAAAGTAAAAAAATAAAAAGAGGAAACAAGAAAAAGACCGAAACCTCATACATCTGCCTCGCAGAGTCGCAGTCCTAGCACCCTCCAAGAGCCCGATGAACGCCAACGGCATTCGTCGCGCCGGCGTGCCAGAGTCTGAAGGATTTTTCCTTCATAACGACAGAAACCCCTCGTGTACCTCGAAACGTGTCATGCCAAGTTATCCATGGTGACGGCGCTTCCTCAATCGTACAACTCCGGTCGCAATGCAAATAGACAAAGGAGTAACATGAAACAAACAGCATTATAAGAAAAGCCCTTTACGCAACCCAAGGAGGCGATATAGCAAAACCACTTCCCGCGCCAGACCGATTCGCAAGATTCATGAAGTCGTAAATGTCGAGAGCTCAGCACCCGCTACTGCTTGACGCCCACCGTGGTCTTCATTTGTCTCAAGGGCTTGCTTCCTCGCCGTGAATCCACGTACGGACAAGGTAAGCGCCGTCTCCTGAGAACACTTCCTCCTTGAATCCCATGTTGTTATACCAATAATCTCGCATGCCGTTGACCAATGCGGGCCTCGCAAAAGCGCCAAGAACATCGGTATGTTTTGCTAATGCAGACGCTCGCCTGACTTCGCGTTCCTGGACAACCTCGTTGACAATGTTGTGATGCATATTGGGGCTATTCTCCATAACGATCTTGAACATGTCGAATGGTAGATTCAGAAGGATGCGTGAAAGGATGGTGTCATTGAGCGCCGGCGCACGATTGCTACGCGGGCTCTCGGCCTGCTTGGTAGACCCTTGACCATTCTCCGCTCCGAGGGAGAGGTCCCCGAACCGAATTTGCAACAACCTGGGATTGATGGAGCCCTTTGAGAGTCGTGATGGTGCCTGGGTAGCCGGCACAGGCTCGTTGGACGAGGATTGAGGTTCGCGTGGGGCGGCAGAAGGCGGAGCGGCAGCCTGACGTGTCTCGGCCGGTAGTCTGGGAAAACCAAAGTCACTCACCCTTGTGTCAAGGACAAAGTCTTGCGGGATATTGTATGCAAGGAAGTGAAGAACGCTGTCGATGAGCTCGGTCATCATCGAGGCTCCCTCCTGCTGGGAAGAAAAGATGACGGATTTCAGAACAAATTCGGTAGCAAGTTCAATCGTGGGCCAGCAGACCAACTCTGCACCATGGTGAACGGCGAACGAGAACACGTGCGGTAGCTGGAGGTAGCGGCCCGTCGTGATATAACTGAGAGCGAGCTTGAAATCTTCGATGACGCCGCGTGGAGGGAACTGCGAAGGAAGGTAGCCTCGAAGAGTCCAGCCATACAGGGAACGGATGGCGAACATGAGAGTGTCAGATCGCACATATTCGTTGTCGAGCTCCAA